CTCTCTCTCTCTCTCTCTCTCTCTCTCTCTCTCTATCTCTCATGCGCCGGCGTTTCCATGCTCTTTCGCGAAACGGGAATGACGCGGGAAGATGCGTTCCACTCTCTTTCTCTCTCTTTTTATTTTTTATTTTTTATTTATTTTTATTGGCCCAGTGCCCAAGGCTGATATTACTGATGAGAAATATTGAGTGCGGGGTCCTCACAGTCCACCCGGAGTAACGACCGAGATTGCCGAGAACCGGGCTCAGCTTCCCTTATGATGACAAGAAAAATCCTAATGAAGAAAAAATTGGATTTAGAAGTTTTAAGCTACTCAGAATTTTACTTCGACAAACTTCAGAAAAACAGTCTGCTACAACTAAAAATACCACCACAGAAGTGGACGAATGCTCAGAAATGGACGAGTCCCTAGCAACCCATCTGAGCCTTCCAGCGCCGACAGACTCCCTGCTGAGCTCTTCCAGGTCTAGTTGGCACAGTGGTGCTCTGGAAACACGTGCCGTGTACTGTTGCTCTGCATTACAGCACATGCCACCTGTACTGTGCATAAGGCAAGTGGGTTACACGTGGCTTTTCTCTATCCTTCAAGTGGGTTGCACGTGGATTGTCTTCTATCATTTCTCAGGAAGAAGCAGTGCAAACAGAAGAACTGTGAAAACAGGGGCCAACTGCCTTTCCAGTACGCATCTTAAGTTAGACAATACAGCTCCCCGTATACGTGGCGGAGGAGGCGGAGGCGGAGGCGGAGGCGGAGGAGAAGAAGAAGAAGAAGAAGAAGAAGAAGGAGGAGGGACAAGCAGTGGCCATAACTGCTTTCCGTACGCGATTCACTTGAAAGTCTTTACAATCCGCATGCCGAAGTCTCAGAGATTGCGCATATTCCCCTACGCATGTCGACCAGGTTGCGCTACTGGTACTCATCAGGGGGCATTCCACTGCCTTGTCTTCGTCCAGAAATAGGTGGGTACTAGTCGATAGGCGCGGCGGAATAGTTGCCAGATTTTCCGATTCGATACTAAGAAGAATTGCTAGAGTTTCCTATTCGACACTAAGAAGAAGAAGAAGAAGAAGAAGAAGAAGAAGAGGGAGAAGGAGGAGGAGGAGGAGAAGGAGAAGGAAGAGGAGGAGGAGGAGGAGGAAGAGGAGGAGGAGAAGAAGGAAGAGGAGGGGGCGGAGCAATGTCTCATGACCTCCTACGTGGACGGGAGCCTCATAGCGGAAATGGGGGTGTGGAATCGGACGTCCTTTCTGATTGGTGGGACGGGTGCTATGATGCTTGGTCAGGCGGATGCGGAAAGACGGGAAGCGTTCATAGCCGACGTTGATGGAGTGTTCTCAGCGTACGACAACGGCGGGAAAGGAAGTCTTGCGCCCTTTGAGCTTAAATGTGCGATGACGTGTCTGACGGGCATCAAACCGTCCAAAGCGGAGATCGCGGCGTTCATCGCCTCGGCGCCACGTGGATGCGTTGACCAGTCCACGTTTAAACGACTGGTGAGCGAGAGATTACAGCTTGCGGATCCGTTCGATAGTGTGCGACACGCGTTTCATGCATTCGACGTGCGCGGCGTCGGGTTCATTGGTCGCCAGGACTTCAGGTCTGCGCTACGCGCTTGCCTGCCACGTGTCAGAGACGATGTGGTCGACTGCGTCTTCGATGAGATCGACGTTGACAAAGATGACAGAATCAGCTTTAAGGAGTTCGACTCGGCCATTCGCCTCTCCGTTTGACTTCAATCACCCCGCCTCCTCCTCCTTATTCCGCAACGTTTGAATTCTCTCTCTCTCTCTCTCTCTCTCTCTCTCTCTCCTGTCTCTTATACACATCTAGATGTGTATAAGAGACAGTTCTTATTCCGCAACGTTTGAATTCTCTCTCTCTCTCTCTCTCTCTCTCTCTCTCTCTCTCTCTCTCTCTCTCTCTCTCTCTCTCTCTCTCTCTGTGAACGTGTCTTCTATCTGGCCGTTTGGCGTGGGCCATTTTCCCTTGGTTGTTTGCAACGAAAACCGGTGGGTGCTAACGGAACTGTGTATGTGGATTGTGTACTGTACGTATATATCGTCAAATAGAACTGGCCGGTAAACCGTAGGCAGAGAGGGAGAAGAGGACAACAAACGAGGGGCTGTGACAAACTGTTTATATATATATAAATCGTCGGAGAGAACTGCCCGGTGAACCGTAGGCAGAGAGAGAGAAGAGGACAGCAAACGAAGGGCCATGGCAGACTGTTCCGTCGGAGTTTCACCGACTAATCAGGAGGCTGAAGCGAGTACTTCTTATGCTTGCTGTATAAGTACTAGTGGGCAGTCAGTAGGAGATAATACTTGCTACATAGTACGTGCTTAGTAACGGTAGTGCTTAATGGTTATGAGCTCCACATAGTACGTAGTAGGTCAGACGGTAGTGCTTGCTGGCTATGCGTTGTGATCGGGGGAAGGGGGTAGTTACTTTCCCCGGTTGGTTTGCTGTACTGTCACAGTGCCACTCGACTCATCTACATTTTGAAGACTGATCATTGTCGTTTCCTCTGGCGTGATTCTCTCTCTCACTCTCTCGCTCCCTCGCTCCCTCGCTCCCTCGCTCCCTCGCTCCCTCTGTTTCTCTCTCTCACTCTTCTGATCGGTGGGTAGTGGTGTTCTCAATTATCAATGCGAAGTTCGGCCGCCTCCGGGTATCGATTGGTTGGTTGATGTGGTGACTAATTGATTGATCGATTGATTGCTTGATTGATGGCTTGGATGATTGATTGAGTGATCCCATCTGCGTAGAGATTGTCGCTGTGCTGAATAATTGGATCTAATAGCTGAGAAGAGTGCCATAGTGGGTTATATAGGAGCGCGTATCAGCTTTGCTTACGGGCCAGAGGCTGCTGGGAGGAGGACGAGAAGACAGAGGGAAGGGGGGAAGACGAACACTAAGTCAGCGATGGCGGGTACGCTGCCGCTGACATCCCAATCAGCGCAGAACACTGCGCGCCGTTTCGTGGACAAGACTTGTGCAGCTGTAGATATCGCATCAACTGCATTGAAGAAGAAGAGCAAGCTATCGGAAGCTGCCGCTCAAACTCCACCTCTCTTCTCCTCCTCATCGGGGACACAGACGCAATGGCGATGCGAACAAGAGGTATGTATGTATGTGTATCACCTCCTTCCCTCCTTATGCACTCTTTCACTCACCTCGTCCCTCTTATGCATCAGTTCCTCCCCCGCCCTGCTCCTCCTTATCCCTTCCATTGTCTTTCAGTTGCTTCTCGTTATATCTATCCTTTGGATTCCTTTCCAACCCCTTCTCCTCTTCGTCTCCTATTCCTCTCTCCTATTCCATTCCTCTTCCTCTACGCCTCTCCTATTCCTCGCCCATTCCTCTTCTATTCCTCTCCTATTCCTCACATCGTTGCTATCTAAGTTCTTCTCCTCTTCCTGTCCTGTTCCTCTCCTACCTATTCCTCTCCTATTACTCTCTTACTGCTCTCGTATTCCTCACGTCGTATGCTATCCAACTCCTCTCGTATTCGTCTGCTGTTCCTCTCCTATTCCCGTCCTATTCCCCTCGTATTCCTCTCCTATTCCCCTCCTATTTCCCTCCTACTGTTTTCCTATTCCTCATGTCGTATGCTCTCCAACTCCTCTTCTATTCCTCTCGCATTCGCCTCCTTTTCCTCTCCTATTCCCCTCCTATTCCTCTTCTATTCCTCTCTTATTGCTCTCCTATTCCTCACGTCGTATGAAACAACTCTTTTATTCCTCGCCTATTCGTCTCCTATTCCTTAACGTCGTATGCTATCAACTCCTCTCCGTTCCTTAGACTCCTCTTATCCATCTCGAGTTTGCGAAAGAAGTGTTTGCTGTGCCTCTTTGTAGTCCATTCCTTACGCTTTCCTCCGCTATTTATCGGCTATTCCTCTGCTATTTCTCTCGTGTTCCCATCTCCTGTTCGTCTTCTATCCCTCCCCTATCCCCCCTTTCCCTCTTGCTTTCCAAATTCGTCTCCTTGTCCTCGGCAACCCGTTCTCTCCTTCGTCTCATTGTCTTCTCCTCCTCTTTACTATGTTTTTCCTGTTCGTCTCTTCTCCTATTCCTCTCCTATTCTCTCTCCTTCCTATTCCTTTATGTGTTCATCTCCTATTCGTCTTCTATTCCTCCCCAATTCTCCCCTCCCCATTTCCTCTCAATCCCTTCTCTCTTTTCTCTCAACCAATTCTCCTTTTCTTCCTCGGTACTCTTTGTCATCCCAATCGCGCCCACTCTTCCTCTCCGCTCCCTTCTCCCATTCTCCCGCGATCCCATTCAGTTCCGTTCCGTTCCGTTACCATTCCCCACTCGTCTCCTCTTCCTCTCCCACAGGTTCTTTCATACCCTCAATTTCTTCTCCTATCCTCCTCCTCCTGTTCTCCTTCTCTTCCTCAGTCTCTCTCATCCCAGTTGCTCACTCCTCTTCTCCACTCACTTCTCCTATTCTCCATTCCCCTATTCTATTMTTTTTCTGGAGATAAGGATGAGCCTGGCCCGGGTTACGTACAGGTTCATGTGTAACCTAGCACACAGATACCCTACTACAAGGCGACGTAATGGGAGTCTGCATGCCTGACTGAACAACTGGAACCTTTTGTCAGAGATGCCCCAGAATGGGTTCCCTCGTTAAAAAAAAACAAAAACGAAACGAAAAAAAAAACAGAAAAAAGGTAGAAAAAGGGGAAAAAGTGAAAAAAACGAAAAAACGAAAAAAAAATGGAAAAGAAAAGAAAAAAAAGAAAAAAAGAAAGAAAAAAATAAAAAAGAAAAAGAAGGAAAAATTAAAGAATGGGGTCCCTTTGCATGGCGGACGACCATCTCATGTGTCTGCATCTGAACCAAAAGCTGTTCAGAATGCGGATACAACCACCACATCTTCTATCTTTTCCTTTTTCTCCCCATGTTTTAGTAAGATGCTTGCCCAAATCCAGTCCTTGTTCATGGTAAGGTAGTGTAGCATTAGAGTGGGCAAACTCTGCAGGACTGCTAGGGGATTTAGAAAACATGCCCGGATGAGGGTTCACGATTTAGGGTGTAGGGTTTAGGGTTTATCACAGTGGGTTGCATAACCTCTGGAAGAAGCCTCCACACCCTCCACTGGAGTTTGTTTTGTAGTACTATCACATTTTTTTTATATTTCTTTTAATTGTGTGATTTATATATTCTTTCATTGATTTCATTTGATTACCATTTTTTGAAATAACTGCGTGGGTGGCCGCTGCACAGTTCCGAATTCGCAGTAATAACAGGGCACTGCGGTTCTGGGCCGAGGGCAGTTAGAAACTGCAGAAACAGAACAGCTTTGTGCACTTCTAGCCGTTGGAAGTTCGAAAGTGGCAAATCAGGCTGCCACTCACTTTTTTGTCTTTTTTTTTTTTTTCCGCACCTGCGACTTCTTTTCCTTTTTTTTTTCTTGTCGGTGACTTTTTTTTTTGGTTGTTTTTTTTCCCGCGCCTGCAACTTTTTTTTTTTTTATTTTTATTTTAACATGAAACGGTTTCACTCAGTTGAGCCGACTTTGCAGACACAGAGATTCGATCCCCAGACCTGTGCCCTAACCCTGTACATTGAACCTGTGTGCTGAGTGAGATTCGATCCCTAGACTGATCCTATACCTGTACATAGACCCAGTGACCTGAGTAGGATTCGATCCCTAGACCTGCCCTATGTCCTAGGCTAGTCTGTAGGTCGGACAGTGGGACTTGATCCCTAGGTCTGTAGACTAGGAGTTAGGTCTGTTACCGTTAGGCTTAGGAAGGCCTGTTCTAGAAATCTCTATCTGAGTCTACTGAGGCCTAGAGTCTGTCTGTAAGTCTGTAGGCTCTAGAAGGTCGTAGGTCCCTGTAGGCCAGTCCAGTCAGCAAGTACCAGGGGTAGGGGCTGCACGTGGGAAGGTTCTGGAGCACACTGTGGGTTTCACACGTTTTGACCCAGAAGGCCAACCTTCTGGAAACTTCCCTGGGCCACACGTTTTGGCCCAGGCCCACACGTTTTGAGGCAGGCCCGGGTACCTCCAAAGAAGTATAACAACGTCCAGCCATTCATTCATTCGCCTGTGTGCCATGCGGAAGAGCTGCCTTGGTATCTTGTGCGTGGAGGATTGCAGGTGCCCAGAGAAGAAGTGGGCTGTGAAGAAGACAGCGGCCATAGCGAGCCAGCGAGGGAGACACCGGCGGCCATAGCTAGGAGGAGGAAGATGCGGCGGCCATAGCCGCCCAGCTGTTGGTATAGACAGTGTACAGAGTGTGAGTGGCTGTGCAGCGTGGACATTCAGGGTGATCCTCGTACGTGCGTGCATGCGAGAGTGTGGGGAAGTGAGGCTGGTGGTAGAGAC